AAAAAAAAAAAAAAAATTTCATCCTGAGACACATACGGAAAGGAGCCCTGACTAGGCAAACAAATTGGGGGGAAAAAAAAGAAACAAAATTGGAGGACTTAATACATTCTGATTTTAAAATTTCCTACAAAGATATGGTAATCAAAACACTGACATGGCGGCATAAAGACAGACATACAGAACAACTGAACAGAATGGACAGCCCAGAAATAAATCCTTTCATATACAGTTTAATGAATTTTGACAAGGGTGCCAAAATGATTCAATGGGGAAAGAAGAATCTGGTGCTGGGAAAACTGGATATTCACATGCTAAAGAATGAAGCTGGATGCTTACCTTACACCATATGGAAAAATTAACTCAAAATAGATCAAAGACTAAAACTATAAAACTACTGTAGAAGAAAACAAACAGGAAAAAACTCCACAATGTTTGATTTGGCAATGACTTCTTGGATATGACACCAATAGCTCAGGCAAGAACAAAAAAATAGATGAAATGGACATCAAAATGTAAAACTTTTATATATCAAAGGACACTATGAAGTAAGAGAAAAGGCAACTCACGAAATAGAAGAAAATATCTGTAAACTATGTATTTGATAAGGAGTTAATAGCCAGAATATGTAAAGTTCTACAACAAAACAACAGAAAAGAAAATCTAATTAAAAAATGGACAACAGATGTATAGACATCTCTCCAAAGAAGATACACAAATGGCCAATAGGCACATGAAAAAATGTTCAACATCATGAGTCATTAGCAAAATGTAAATCAGAACTACAATTAGATTCATTAGGATGGCTATTATGAAAAAGAATATAAAAAACAAGTGCTGGTGAAGATGTAGAAAAATCAGAACCCTTGTGCACTGCTGACAGGAACAGACAACAGTGAAGCAACTGTGCAAACAGTGTAACAATTAAAAATAAAATGTTCAAATTAAAATGGGTAAAAATTAACATAAAACACAAAGGGACTTTCCTGATGGTCCAGTGGTTGAGAATTCACCTGCCAATACGGGGGACATGGGTTCAGGCCCTGATTCAGGAAGAACCCACATGCTGCAGAGCAACTAAGCCCACACACCACAACTACTGAGCCCCCACGGTGCAACTACTGAAGCCCACACGGACCCCAGCGTGCACGCTCTGCAACGAGAAGCCACCACAACGAGCAACCTGCACACCACACTGCAATGAGAGAATGCCCGCACAGCAACAAAGGCCCAGCACAGCCAAAAAAGATGAAACATAAAATTACCATATAATCCAGCAACTCTAATTACAGATACATATCCAAAAGAACTGAAAATACAGACGTGGAAAGATTATTTGTACATCAAGGCTCATAACAGCATTATGTCCAACAGCCAAAAGGTGAAAACAATTCAAATGTGCATCAACATTTGGATAAATGGATAAACAAAATGCAGCATTATACATATAATGGAATATTTCAACCTGAAAAAAGGAATTAAATTCTGACATATGTTATAACGTGGATGAACCCTGAAAACATTAAGTGGAATATGTCAGACACAAAAGGACAAATACCGTGTGAGTCCACTTAAACATACTGAGAGCAGTCAAATTCATAGAAACAGTAAGTATAATGGTAGTTGCCAGGGGCTAAGGGGAGGGAGAAATGGGGAGTTACTGTTCAATGGGTACTGTTTCAGTTTGGAATAATGAAAAAATTCTGGAGATGGATGGTGGCAATGGTTGCAAGACAATGTGAATGCACTTAATTCCACTTGAGTGTATACTTAAAAATGATTAATACTGTATGTTTTTGGCCATATCACATGTCTCGTGGGATCTTAGTTCCCCAATCAGAGACAGAACCCAGGCCCACAGCAGTGAGAGTGCTGAGTCTTACTAACTTACTGGACTGCTAGGGAAGTCCCCAAATGATTAATTTTATGTTATGTATATTTTACCACCAAAAAAAGGGTGAAAAATTAGAAGAATATTTTGTTTTCCAACTGCAGAACTACAGTCTGGTGGTAGCAATAGGAAGCAAGCAGAAGGATAACCACACTTTCTATCCCATGTTAGAGAGTATGAAAGAATACACTTTTCTTAATAAAAGGCTTCCCAGGGAGGAGTATAGTCATTAGAGAAAGCCAAGGTTTCATGAAAGTGAGGTACTGTCAAAAAGGCTGAGGCTGTAAGTGAAATATTTCTTAGAAACACGAAATTTTAAGTTGCAGAGTGTAAAAGAATGTTTAAGTTGAACAACATAGGAAAGAGAACACAGGACCATTCAACTGTGAAAGGAGGAATAAGATTGAGAATCAAAAGGAGGAGAAAGGAAGACGGTGGGAGGACTGACTCCTAACAGCCTCAGGGCTCAGAATGGTCCTGTGCCTTGTAAACTGTAACTACAGCAAACCTTCATTCGACACTTGTTACATCACTGTCCTACGCACTTTATATGCATCACCTCCTGTTTCAACTAAATTGGCCTTGATTCTGCCTGCGACTGAATTTCTCCTCAGTTACACGAGATGTTAACTTAATATTCATTCAAATAAAAGAAATGCTTGTGGCTATGGCTGCGATTTATGAAACCAACATCTTTTAAGTATTTAAAGGGGGATTTTTTTTTTTTGGTTACCCAGTTAGTCCATGTCCCCTTAGTAGTACCTCTCCATTATCTTAACCACATTTACACTAAAATACATTAAAAACTATATTTAAACAGTAAAAAATATGCAAACATAATCATACCCTAATCTTTGGTTGTTCAGTCCTAGATTTAGTATATGTTTTCCTTTCTAGTCTTTCTCCCACTCCCAACCCCTATCTCTGACTCCACAGTATAAATAACTTTACTGGTTTTCTAGATTACAAAGGAAAAGACAAATGTTATCATTAAAACAGAAAAAAAAAAAGCAAATCACCTCAAATGGTTAATTCTTTATTTGCATTAACATCTTATGGATTACTCCTGGATCATAAATGACCTAAAAAGCCATGTAAAGTAAGCAACAATAGACGACACACTGACACTTCAGCCAACATTCAGTAACAGAAATACTTAATATTTTTAGCATTAAAGTTCTTTTCAATCCTAATGTTGAAAAGTAAATAAGCTTGTAACTAATTCTCAACAACTTCATAAACAGTTTTATTTGTAGTTTTTAGTAGTATCTGCATGCATCAAGTTCTAAATTTTAAAAACTTAGAATTGTCATCCAAAACTACAGAATTTTCCAAAATTACTCCCAGCAAGACCAATTTATTGCCTTTTAACAGCTAGTCAAAGTGCTCTGGGGAACACAGAAAAATGAAATTCATATTAATAATTTGAGTGAAAGCCACTCAGTCGTGTCTGACTCTGTGACCCCCATGGACTGTCCATGGAATTCTCTAGGCCAGAATATTGGAGTGGGTAGCCTTTCCCTTCTCCAGGGCATCTTCCCAACCCAGGGATCGAACCCAGGTCTCCTGCATTGCAGGCTGATTCTTTATCAGCTGAGCCACAAGGGAAGCCCAATAATTTGAGTAGCCTATAAAATTATTTGATGTAGGGAAGTCAGTCCCATATGAAGCTGAAAAAAGCTGCCACGCAAACAACCTAAATGGATGCATTCTGTAAGAAATCTACCAGTACTGAAAATTTCTATCACCAGAATGATATCTTTAGGTTACTACCTTATTTTCATAATGCATTTGTTAAATGTAAATTGTTCACTTGGAAGGAAGAAAAAGAAATAGATAACTTTAAAAAAAATTTAAGGAGCATGTTGTACTCAGTAAAGTTAATAGATAATTCTTTAAAAAAAGAGTACTGAGATTCACTTCTTCAAGGAAAATACATTATACAGCAATCGATGGGAAAGGGTTTATATATTTACAATAATGACACTTAGAACTTACCTGTAAAGTCTGACTAGCTCTAGGCAATGAGGGCCCATCAGCATGGATCACCATTACCTGACTGGGAGACTGTGATAGAATGCTAGAAGAGCAGGCAGAAGTCTAAAAGTAAATAGAAAAACAAGGGTACTTTTTTATCTAATATTAAACACATACTGAATTTAAAGCCCCTGAAGCACTCCCTGAGGGACACACAGTATATACTTCTGTTTGATAAGCAATCACTTATGTTTGACTTGATAACCTTGTAATGGATACCACATGGTCAGTGGTAGAATTTTGTGGTCATGTAAAACATCAAGCCAACAAAGGTCTGTCTAGTCAAAGCTGTGATTTTTTCTAGCAGTCATGTATGGATGTGAGAGTTGGACTATAAAGAAAGCTGAGTGCCGAAGAAGTGATGCTTCTGAACTGTGGTGTTGGAGAAGACTCTTGAGAGTCCCCTGGACTGCAATGAGATCCAACCAGTCCATCCTCAAGGAAATCAGTCCTGAATATTCATTAGAAGGACTGATGCTGAAGCTGGAATACTTTGGCCCCCTAATGCAAAGAACTGACTCATTGGAAAAGACCCAGATATTGGGAAAGATTGAAGGCGGGAGGAGAAGGGGATGACAGAGGATGAGATGGTTGGATGGCATCACTGACTTGATAAACATGAGTTTGAGTAAGCTCTGGGAGCTGGTGATGGGACAGGAAGTCTGGCGTGCTGCAGTCCATGGCGTCGCAAAGAGTCGGACACGACTGAGCTGAACTGAAAACATCATGGAGATCTCTTAGAGGAACCTCAAGGAGGTGCCAGGAACCTCCATACTCATCTACAATATAGTAGGTTTATATTATAGTATACAGTAAAATTATTTATAGGATGCAGAGTAGTTGAGGACATACTTTAATATTTTTTTAAAATAATATTTTAAAACATCAAATGCAGAGTTAGCTTTTTTAAAAATGAATAAGCTTCAAAAATAAGCTTTATGATATAAACAAGGCTTAGCATTAAAAAACTGCAGTAAAGGTATCTTACATTCCATAAATGCCTGATTTTTATGCTCTTACCTTAAACTGATCCAGAATTTGAAGTTTTTCCCATTCTATTTTATCACTTTCAGATTTTTTCCATGGATTATTCCATTTTTCAGAAGCTTCCTTTTCTTTCTTCTTTAAAGCAACCTGTTCATCTGTAAATAATGTCCTTTTTTAAAAAATATGTAAAAACTGTAAAAAAAAAATCATGTAAACAAATCATGACCTTCTTAAAGAGTGCAGATGTTTAAGAAGATCTACTCAAAATTGTTTTTGAGGAAGGAGGTTAACTCACAAGACAGAATTCTGAGAGATATGAAATAAAACATTTAATCAGAAACATATGGCATAAATGAATGTAAAATGTTTGTTTTACTATAAATAAGGAACAATTTTTCAGAACATATTTTATATTATGCTAATTATGTGAGGTTCTATTCTTCGGTAACGTTCATTCAATTATTACTGACAGACTTAAAAGGCTAGAACACTGAAGTCAGAAAAACTGGGTTCAAATTGAAGGTCAACCACTTCCCTGCTGCGTGACTGTGGGAAAACTGACGTTCACTCCTCTAAACCCACGTTTTTACTTTGCAAAAGGAGATTAATAATAGTGCTTATTCTCAGTACAGGGCCTCATACAAAGTATTTAAAAAATGTCAGGCACTATTATTCATAACTGCTGAAAAGTAAAACACATAAAATCATGTGTCCAAATTTGTATCGAAACATTTAAAGCTGAATTATGATATAAACACACATCTGATCTCCAAATCTTCTGATACCGCTGCTATACATTTATTTAATTTCTTCACTCTTCTATTACTTTGACTTCCAATAGCAATTCACTCCCAGTTTCTTCTACTTATCTCTTTTTCTAGATCACCTGTTCTGGCAGGGCTATGACTAACCAGAAACTTTCCAGTTCAGTGGACAATGAATTTCACTTTCATGCTTTTAGTAGTACAACTATTTCTAAGAAGTACAACTATTACTTCAGTATTTTTCAAGCTCTCGTATCTGTACCCTAAGTCTAACCTAAGAAGTAACAGGAGTTTCTTAGTTGTTGTCTTAGTTACCTGAAAATCCAACTTAACACAAATTATAAATTATTTTATTGTGATATTCACAGACTGCAAAAGAGAAATAAGCTTGTTTTTGCAGGGGATATACTGATTGATATCCTACTGATGACTGTTGATTAGAAAGTTTTAATTTTTGAAATAAAATATTTTTAAACAAAACCATTTTCAACCTATAAAATTTCTGTAATTGAAAAATAAGAAAATGGATTCTCAGGAAATGAGAAATGTTTAGAAACCTTTGTTTGAGCTCCAGAATGATAATGATATTAATGTTCATCTTTGGATGAACACCACAGAGCACTAAAAAAAAAAAAACACAAAACATAAAGGAATGTGAAATCATAAAGTTTATTATGCCATTTGCAGAGAACTACTCTAGATGGTGAATGATATAAAACAAGGTTTTGGATAATATACTGAAATATATATTTCATCCTCAATATATATTCCTTAGACAACAAAACTATTAATATAATAAAAGGTGCAGTAATTACCTACCAAGCTCTTTCCTCCACTGGGCTTTTTTTGCTTCCAACAAACTTCTATCACGTTCTCTTTCTCCCAGAGTACTGAATATGTCAGCTGGTTTCCATACATTCTCTCTAAGACAAATATAAAAAAATAACAGAAACCTTATTATACATTTCTATAAACTTACTCCATAAATATTAAGTAATAAAACATTAAATAGCTCTAGTCTTTAGAATAAATATTTCACATACAAATCAAGGAAAAGTAAAATCATATTCCCAAGATGACCCCACAGTAACAGATATGAGTTACATACGTGGAAATTTTCTGCTCACACTGATTAGATGTCACCTCACTTTTATTTAAAACAGATGTGCTTTCATCCTGAATAGATGAAACAGTCTCAGCTTTTTGGAGGAGTCCCATGATGTTCTCGTTCTTTGGCTTTTCAGGAATATTGTTTAAATTTAGACTATACTGACCTACAAGGTAAAATGCATGTTTTAAAATTAATACTAAAATTGCAGAATGATAATGATATTAATGTTCATCTTTGGATGAACACCACAGAGCACTAAAAAAAAAAACACAAAACATAAAGGAATGTGAAATCATAAAGTTTATTATGCCATTTGCAGAGAACTACTCTAGATGGTGAATGATATAAAACAAGGTTTTGGATAATATACTGAAATATATATTTCATCCTCAATATATATTCCTTAGACAACAAAACTATTAATATAATAAAAGGTGCAGTAATTACCTACCAAGCTCTTTCCTCCACTGGGCTTTTTTTGCTTCCAACAAACTTCTATCACGTTCTCTTTCTCCCAGAGTACTGAATATGTCAGCTGGTTTCCATACATTCTCTCTAAGACAAATATAAAAAAATAACAGAAATTTAGTCACTCAGTCGTGTCCAACTCTTTGCGATCCCACGGATTGTAGACTACCAGGCTCCTCCGTTCATGGGATTTTCTAGGCAAGAGTACTGGAGTGGGTTGCCATTTCCTTCTCCAGAGGATATTCCCAACCCAGGGATCGAACCTGGGTCTCCCACATTGTAGGCAGACACTTTACCATCTGAGCCACCAGGGAAGTCCCTGGTGGAAGTATATCTTGATATACTGCTATACAATTTTTTTAAAATACTGCCTTACACAATATCTAATTAATTACTTCTTACAGCAGTTCTTGCAGTGGGTATTACAATTCCATTTTTGTTAAAAAAGGAAACTGAGTCTCAGAGGTTAAATGGCCCAGTGGTATGGCCATAGCCATACAAACTTTTATTTCAACTAAGAAAACAAGCAACAATAATGAAGGAAAAAACCTCCATTTACTCTTGCCAACAATACTTTTACAAATAAAATAAATAACACAAATCACAACTTAAAGGAGAATAAATGCAAATAGATTTAGGAAAAACAACTCATTACCTTGTCCTTATTTTTCTCATTTAGCTGGGAAATCAATCTCTGCAGAACTTTTCCATGGACTACTGTATATTATCTATTCCAAATATTTTACACAGGGCACATATGCTTGGCTCAAAAAATTCTTTACTACTGAGCCACCTGGGAAGCCTTAAAAGCAACTATACTCCAATAAAAATTAATTTAAAAAAAGGACTTCTCTGGTGCTCCAGAGGCTAAGACTCTGAGTTCCCAAAGCAGGGAGCAATCCCAGGTGCAATCCCTCCTCAGCGAACTAAATCCCACAGCCCAACTAGAGATACTGCACTCCACAACTAAAAAACAGACTGAAGATCCCATGTGTCACAACTAAGTGCAGCCAAATAATTACACAAAAATATTTTTAAAATAATAACCTTTTAAAAACTTTTAAAGATAAAGGCTAGCACTCTCACTTTACAAAGAATAATCTACCCCAAGAGGAGGTAAATTACTCCATTTTGAGCCCCATGGAAATGTTAAGGAGCTACCTGGTCCCCATACCAGTTGTGGGCCCTCTTTCTAGTGACTGTTAATTTTATTTTTATTTATGTCACCATTGCCTAACAAAATTCTAATAATATTTCTACTCATAGTCACAATTCCTTAGCTTAAAGCTGAAACTAGAAGGCTTTTAAAAAAAATAATGCAATGTCCTAATTAGTAAAATAAAAGGCATATAATACTCTACTACTTCCAAGTCAGTGTTTTACATTGGTTAAAAAGATAGTGCTGTCAATTCTTAGCAAGGACTGAGGGTCAGGAAGAGCAAAAGCCAGGCCAGGAATATAATCCTTTTCAGCAACTCGTGTCTCATTTCCATAGCAAAATTCTCATCATTTTTCACTAGAAATACTATAGTAATTTTTTTAACATTTTACATATTTATTTTTCATCTAAGTAAAGCCTAACATTCTAAAATTAGCACAGCAGCTTTCTTTCTGTACTAACATCTAGATGCACAAAGCTGAATTTCTTAAGGCTATGGTACATGAGAACAATATTCTTAGCATTAATGTTAAATAAAACATCGCATATTTTAACTATAAGAGTAATTTTGCATATGAGAGAATGTCTTCTAAACAAACATTTATTTTAAAACTTCATGCACTAAACTAGAATTTAAGAGGCAGTTATGTAAAATACAATGAAACTCAAATCCTAAAACACTTACATATTGATAAAATATTAAAATTTTAGAAAAATCTTACTTGTTTCCTCCTGCTTTTCATTCTCAGTCAGGGTAAGAGATTTACTTCCTTGGTTTACAGTCATCAAAATTCGTTGTAGTTGGTCTTCTGTTAGACACACCAAACTGCTCTTTCTATTTTCAGCTATGATGTGCTTTCTGCAAGGCTTCTGTTTAGCTACTACAAATGTATTCATGGTGTTTCTAGTCTTCTGTATATTAGGTGGTGAAAATGAAATTTCTTTCTCGGTATGAAGACTGTCTTTGTCTGCATATTGTTTGCATAAATCCTTAGTGGGTGAAAAAGTCATACTATTTTTTTCACCTTTTACCAGTGAAGTTTCTGAACCAATTCTTTTCTTTTGCAAAAATTTTTCACTCCTGACACAAGTATTTTGTGATTTTAGAATGTATCCAGTTTTAGTTCGTAAAGGATATTTTGCAATCTTGGTTTTATTTCCCATCTGTTAAAACAACAGAAATTTATTATTTATAATAGCATGTGAAAAATCAACAATTATCTCTATAATCAATGATAAGTCAGGCTTCGAAACTTTTTTCCCTCCATTTTGCTAGTCAGGTAATATACCCATAGAAACTCACACTTAACCTTTGCAAATCTTCACTTGAAATCAAGCTGGTGGGTCACCATCCCTCTCTCTAACCTAACTCCTATCTTAACTACTGGTGCTTTCACATTGTTTGAATACCCTCACTTTCCTGGACTCTGCTCCTATATGCTTATCTTCCATGCTACCTCAGTTACTTATTCCCACAGTGGTATCTTATATTGACCTTGTAACTACCCATAACTGTAACCTTTTATAATCACAATTTCAACAAGAACCTCCAGTCATAGACCTTAGCACTCGTCAATCCCTCTACATCAGACATTACTCCTTCAAATTTTACATGGCTCATTCACTAACCACCTTCAAATCAGGGGTCCAACATGACTGGCTCATGGAAGTCTTCTCTGAACACTCTTATTAAAAATTGCAGGCTTCCTGCTCTAAACTCACTCCCACCTTGCTACTCCCACCATTTCCCCAAGACTACTGTGCCCGACACCACCCTTATGGCAGAAAGCTCCAATACTTTGGTCACCTGATGCAAAGACCTGACTCATTGGAAAAAAGCCTGTTGCTGGGAAAGACTGAAGGCGAGAGGAGAAGAAGATGAGAGGATGAGATGGTTGGATGGTATCACAGTCTCAGTGGACATGAGTTTGAGTCAACTCCAGGAGTTTGTGATGGACAGGAAGGCCTGGCATGCTGCAGTCCATGGGGTCACAAAGAGTTGGACATGACTAAGCAACTGAACTGTGCCCCTTCCCTTTCTCTCCTTTATTTTGCTCTATACCACTTTTGGTACTGTAATATTCTATATTTATTTTGATTATTTTCTGCCCATTCCACCTTTTTCTAATTTAAACTCCACATGGCAAAGATTTTTGTTTGCTTTGTCCACTGTTGTGTCCCTAGTATCTGAACAGTGAGTGGAACAGGGTAGGTTTAAGGAAATTTTGTTGAGTGACTATCTTCGACTACACCATTTAAAGACCGAATTCTTTATCTCTCGTCCCCAAGTTAGTGTCCCTTTCCAAATTATCTAATTTTTGTAGCACTGCTGTTCTAATCTTTCAGATCAGTAACCATGGGGTCATCTTTGAATCTTTATTTTCCTTCAAGGTGTTCTTTAGTTTACCAGCAAATATTGGTCATTTCTTCCTTCCAAATGTCTTTTTCTCCCCTTTTATATGACAATAAATCTAAAATGAGGTTTTCATTACCAAACTATTACAGCTTGCTTATCTCAAATCTCTTATCTAACCCACTGTACATTTCTGCAGACACATCTAACATAAAGTAATTCAACAGTCATTCAGTCAATATTAAGTGTAGTTCTTTAGGTGATCAACACTATGAAAAAGATGCCAAAGGCATAAAATGAGTAAGACAAAATTCCTGCTGTCAAGGAGTAGGGTAGATACCACATGGCTTTCATCTGGTTTATCATATCTCAAATCTCCTTACTTTAAAAAATTACATAATACATAACCATACTCTGACCAATTAATCAACCTCATTTTACTCTACTTTTCAAAATGTACCATACCATCAGCAGCAAAATCTCTTATTATCCTCTTCATCCCACGTACACCCTTTTATCCTAGGCTTTAAGACTTTCAATAATACTAATAGCACAATGTAACATGCTCCTTTACCCTCTATCATTATGGCTATTTTTATATAATTAAGTCTTTCAATGAAAAGTGACCAATTTATACCTACTGCAAACTAGGCTGGGTGGCAACTAGGATGAACTGAAGAGCACTCATCCGTCTAAAGCAGGCAGCCACCAGTCAGAAGCAGCTTACATTGACAAATAGGAATTTGAGTCTACTTACTAGATCATCCAGATTTCAAGAGAACCAAAAATGCCATATTTTACCTTAAAGTTCCAATTTTTAGGCAGTCACAATTCATTCTAGTTTTTGAAAATCACTGTGTTAAGCTAATTATCAGCAGACTGCACGTAGCTTACAAGGCTGAGCCCTACACCGCGATCTCCAACCACTACAGCTATTACTACTGCCCACTCTTTGCCCCATACTGACGTTATGGGGATCATGAACAGTTGAGCATTTCAGTTCTCGAGTCAGTTTCTGACTCAAACTGCTAAGAAGTATAGTGTATGCCATTAATGAATCTTAAAAATTTCTTACTTTTGTCCCCTTCTTTATATTCTGATAACCATCATACTTCAGGATCTCATAAAACTTCCTGGACTAAAATAACTAGCTCTAAGTAGTGTTCCTGTTATGATAATCTGTGCTTCACAGAACTGCCCAAAGCCCTTTCTTACAACACAAATCCTATCTAGTCTACTTTTCAAAACAAGTAAGTTCAAACCCTTTGAATATACATTTAAACCCCTCACAATTGTAACCACCCTAAGTTTTATGTTGTACATTCCCTGCTGATATACACACTATCCCCAAATACAAATTATGGTTTGTACTTTGGTATTTTGCCTGCTATTTTCTTTGAGTTTAGAATATACTTCTCTACTACTTTCACTATGAATATTTCCCTCATCTTTTAAGTTTTAACTAAAGAGTCAGCTCATTTATGAAGTGTTCCCTGTCTCCTCAAACCACAAAGGACTGCTCTTTGAAAAGTTTTTTTCTTTTTATAACCCTAGTATGGTACACATTTTACTTGTAATATATAGTTATTTATTGAACTGACAGTACTGCTTCTAAGAAACATGGAATTGGTGTTACTTCTTTTTTTCTCTCAGAGTCACAGAACAAATACAGTCAAGAATGTAGCTATACACACATAGTGGAGTTTCACAGCTGCAGTAACTTCTTTTAAACAGAAACCTATTAATTGTGGCCCCAATTTAACTAGAACTATTTTGCCACAGTCTACTTATACCAGAAATAAATACAGAAAAAAATCACCTAAAAGTATTTAATGAAAAAGTGGGGTAGCAATGTCTGGCATGAGATCAATAAACACTCAGCTCAATCCTGAATATGTTTGTAGCTTAATACCTGAGAAGAGTAATGAGAGGAAGCAGCAAAAAAATCATGAACTATCAAATAAATATTCTATTATGTTCAAGTTACTTAACAGGAAAAAGCAATCTAGCCCATATCATTTTCCAAGTGTTTACTGGATCAGATGAATTTTAATTGATCAAGTAGGGTATTAATGTCATAAACACTTCTATGGAGCATGTTGCTCTTTACCTAAATTTAAAAATTTTTAAATGTTTTAATTGTACCAATATTTTTCATAATATTAAAAAAGATATAAAGACAGGGTCCAATGCAATGAATACTGGTCAACTTCAGAATTTATGTGGAACAAGGATCCCAAAGTCAGAAAGATTCAGAGAGAATTAATATTTTAAAATATAAAACATGTTACCTAGCACTAATACTATATGCATCTATTAGTGTGGCATTATTCTGATTCTCACACGTAGAAATATCTGCAAACATTTTTGTAATGTTTTATATTTCAATTAATTGTGAGATATTTTTATGACTTTATACATTACCCATGACACTGAATCATTAATATTTCTCTCATTTCTCTTCCTATAAAAGCTAAAGAAATTAGACTGGCAACCATATTTATTTCATATTCACTCCCACAGATTAAAGAAAAATGCAGGAGAGATTTTGAAAAAATTACAGTACTCAGACCACAGCGTGTTAAACTTGATGATGGGCTAGAGCTCACAGTGTTTCAAGAGCACACTGTGAACAGGACCGTAACTCAACGGAGGAGATGAAAAGAGAACTGCAGGCAGTACGGTCACTCAGGAGGTAACCCTAACAGAAGAGAAAGCACCATGACGAGTGAACTTATGAGCAGCCTACAGAAAAGAGAAATCAATATATAGCTGCAGAATTGAGATTTAGGAAACTTAGGGTGCATCGGTACTTTCTTCCAGCTTTACTGAGGTTTAATAGGTGTGCAATTTGATATAAGTATATATTGTGAAATAATTACCACAATCAAGCTAATTAACTTATCCACCACCTCACATAGTTACCATGCATTAGTATTTTGGTGTCCCCAAAGCAAGAGGAGTAAAACAATCTGTTTTAATTCAATAAATAAATATCTAGACCCCTAAAAGAATTTTGAAAGGATTTTACCAAAAGTCCAAGACTAGCAACTTTATTACAGGCATAAAAGGGGATCTCCGGATGTCCCAAGTTGGTTAAAAAGATAATGAAATGTCTTCACAAATGTACTGACAATAACATATCCATGAAGGACACAATTGAAGAGGGAATATGTACAAGAAAATAGAGGCCAGGGGAAGACACAAATCAACTATTACAGGTAGTCTGTTTGTTTTTAAATCTAGGAGCTTGAAAAGGAGTACTGTATTTGTTGCTGTGACTCAAATAAAAATAATTGTTGCAATGTTTTAAGGCAGAAAAATATTTTGCAATTAAGGGAACACACAAGGTATGCATATACTGTGTGTGTATGTAACAATTTTTATAGGTAGCTTGTGGAATTACTTAGACCATTATCACCCATTTACCCAAGTAACTGATAAGCTGGGAACTCAAGCATCTTCTCCACCTTGATTAAACCTGGAAACCAAAGCCACCAAGGGTTCAGAATTGACAAGTGCCACATCATCCAAACTGGGCTCTACTCAAGATATGGAAAAACAGACTTTAAGATGCTGCAAAATAAAGGGGGCTACAGAAACTTATGGAGGAGAATAGAAATTTCTGCTGCTTAATGGGAAAAGGAATGGGAAACAAAAAGTGGTATCAAAATTTTGAAGTGGTAATGTATTCTGCAGAAAACGGCACTGTGTGTTCCTGATAAGGAAAAATAATTGAAAAGGAAAATTATCATTTAGCTTAAGTGTAACCTCTTAGACTAAGAAGCTAAATGCATTTAAGAGTTTGTCAACCAAATACATCCATTTGGTGTGGGAAAATGGAATCTGAGTATGAAAAAAGAACTTTGTTTAAAAGTCTGTTTTTAAAGATCTCAGGAGTTACACTGTCCAGTACAGTAGTTACTAAATTGAAATTAAAAATAAAATAAATGAATTAACAATTAACTTCCTTAATCACACTGGTCACATTTTAAGTCCTTGACAGCTACACATGGCTAGTAGCTGGCTGCCATATTGGACAGCACTGATTTTACGACGTTTCCATCACTGCAGAAAGTGCTACTGGACAGGACTGATCTGGAGAAAGAAATTCTAGAAGTCTTTTTGAACTGAAAAATTACAATTCCATTTCTGTGAAAGGACCAGCTTGAAAGCAAGCAAACAGTAACTTTTCATCATCACTCCAAATCCTTTATGATAATTTGACAGGAATTATTTTCAAACCACTGTAAAGTGAATTGCATTTTACATTTGAAAACAAGTCAGGTCAAAGTCATTTGGCTTACCTTTCCAGAAATTTTTGATTTATGGTCTACAAAAGAAAAAAAAATTACTAAACTATCAACTAAAAACATACTAAGGCAGTCAAAAAGAAAATTTTAATTAGCATTGTTTTAAGAAGATATTAACTAAAAATATTAACCCCCAAAAACATTAACTTTAGATATTAAAAATGTTTTAACTTTTACAGTGTGGTTCCAACAGTTCTATTTCATTTTTGTTCACTTTCCAAGGTAAAACTACAAACAGTTTAGAGAAAAAGAAGATACTCTGAATGAGAAGAGTACCAAAGCATACTCCTGAGTTTTAAAACTAATACTAAAAATGACTTTAAAACTATGGTCTTATTATAAATTGAATTTTCTCAAATAATACATTGTTTACATGCACAGAACATAAATACATAAATTTCACCTAGATTACTCATTAGACAATAAGCATGTTTGCTACATACAAATATAACAAAGAGATGTTACATATGAAATATACTCAAACATTAAATTATATGAATAAATACTGACAGTGGTAACCAATGATGTGATTTGACTCTACTTGGCTAAAAATAAATTTGAGAAAGTTAGGGAAACCAGTTTTTTTCAAAGTATCATTTAAATATTCTACTACAAGCAAAAAACCTGTTACAAAATAATACATTTTATGTAGGAATCTAAAAGTTTATATTTTAGATTTCCAGTAACATAGCATACCATATGGAGATAATATAAGCTTGGTTTTTCCATTCAATAATTCCGTTTCAAGCTTTAAACCATCTCTGCAAAATAAAAGAAAGCTGTCTGTCATTTTTAAGAAACAGCAACATTTTAAATAGCCAGAAATGTTCATTTGAACCTTGAAAGTAAATTTGTTCTTTGGAATTAATACAGGAACCTTGTAAATATTAAATCATTAAAAAAAAAATTTGTGTTCATTTTTTTAAATTGAGGTATAATTGAAATCATTCTTTTAATTTAAAACATTTTTCAATTCAAGATAAAATTTAAAACTACATAGAAAAAATTCTTGAAACTTTCCTACAAAGAATTTATCATATTCAACCTGAAACTTCTTTTTGTTCAGTTCAGCTGCTCAGTCATAAAGGAATAAATTAATCTGGTTATTCTAATATCATTTAATTCTTTTAACCCTAGACTGGGAAAAAAAATAATGTTGTTAGGAAATTCCTCCCCTATATTAAAGGAGCAAAACCTCTAGTTACTATTTGTTAGTTTCATAATGGTCTCATGACTAATACATTCTATGGCCTAGTAGAGCAGTATTTGGAAGTGAACCTGTTAAGAGTGCCACCAGGGTTATAAACTGCTTGAGCATGGAGTTTTATTTTGAATATTTCAACTAATACACACTCAGACTTGGTGATGCTTTTTAAAGTATCACAGCAACACACCTATATTATCCCCCTGTACTTTATTTATCTGTGCCTGTCAAATTCAAGAGTACAAAGTAACAGTAGTTACTGTCAATGAAAATTGAACGTTTGTTAAAGTCCAAATAAAAATTTCACTAAAACCAAAAGCAGCAGTACACAGCTATTATAATATTTTAGTAAGGTGACAGGGGCAGGAGAGAGGAAGCGAAGTAGGTCAGTATCAACAGGGACAAAAATGATGTCCACAGTAAAAAAAATTAAACCCAGCAGACCAAAAAAAAGGGAATACGAAATTTGCTGTGATGCTAAGGTGGGAGACATCAAACGACCTCAATTTATGATTAACATAAAACACTGTAAAGAATGGGTTTTAAGGGTTTCCCGGTTGCACAGTCATAAATAGTTAATGTTAACATTGGTGAAATTTGAACAAAAGACTTTGAATGAAATTGTAAAGTACGTTTATTCAGCCCTACTGCATTGCAAACGCCTTCAAGGGCTGTCTTATGTATTTGCTATCCCTAGATTCTATTTGCTAAATGAGGCGCATGTGTGTAAGTTTGGTGACTTTTCATCTTCTTAAAATGTCAAACTTCCCAATGATGCAAACCACGCAACGGTCCTTCTTATTCGGCTTCCCTGATGGCTCACAGGATAAAGAAACTGCCTGCAATACTGGAGACCAGGGTTCAATCCCTGGGTCAGGAGAGTCCCCCAGAGAAGGGAACGGCAACCCACCCCAGTATTCTCGCCTGGAGAATCCCATGACAGAGGAGGCTGGAAGGCTATAGTCCATGGGGTCTCCATGCAACGGTCCTTCTTATTTACTCAACCACTGTCTCCTGAAGAAGGAAATGGCAACCCACTCCAGTATTCTTGCCTGGAGAATCCCATGGACAGAAGAACTTGGCAGGCTACAGTCCATGGGGTCACAAAGATTCGAACATGACTGAGTAACTAACCACCACCACCACCACTATCTAATGAGGGCCTATAAGATGTCAAACATAAATGATCCATGGCTCCTCGAGAAGCCTCGGCTCTTTGCACTGCAGGCGCTAAGCTTCTCTGGGCACTCCAACATTGCAAAAAACCCCACGACAGGGACGCAAAGCACCAGAACCTGGGCCAGGATTTCTCCCCGGGAATCTGCTAAGCTTTATCTCTCCACCTGCCCTCACCTTTTACCTCCTCTCATGCCTCTCCTCCTTCTCCCTCCTGAGATACAGGAGGAAGCGAAAAGGAGAGACGGACAGTTTTCACGCGAGTTATTAATTTGAAAAGTAAAAGGCCGACCCAGCCCCTTGCCCCTCTCCACTTCAGGGAGCTGGCACTGCAGCTGGGGACGACACAGGACTGGAAGTTTCCCCGCGAAGGACTCCACGGGTCAATTAAGTCTCGCCCTTCCACAGACGACCACCTTTCTCTCCCCAGCTTACCCCAAGTTCATGGCCTGACCTCGCGCGCTCTCCACAGGATGCTTAAGCCCCTTGTGTACGCCGGTTGCTGCCGTCGCTCAACAAGCGCTACGCCGATTGGATACAGTGATGCCGGCGAGCTAGGAGAGCGGGCCAATCAGGATTGAGTATACTGGCGCCTGCGCTTGGGGGCGAGGCTCCAAGAGCACTGCCCTTTCGCCCCACCTGGGGTTTGTGGTCCTGATTCTAGAATGGTGTTAGTTCTTAACCGGGGGATTGCAGCCCCTAGGGTTCACAGAGAGCTCTCAGAAGTGCGTCAGCTCAAGTGGAGGTGGCAAAAGTAGGGAGAAACAAAAGGCATTAACATTGTTTGGGAATTAACATTTGCTATATTGTACATTTGCAAGAGAGGCTTATTTTAGTGTAAAATAAGTTAGGGAGGTGGTACTGGATGGGGAAGATCCTCTGGAGAAGGAAATGGCAACCCACTCCAGTATTCTTGCCTGAGAAATCCCATGGACAAGGGGAGCGTGGTGGGCTACAGTCCATTCGGTCGCAAAAGAGACATGATTTAGTGAATAGACAACTGGAGAGAGACTCCTAGAGCAGGTACCTGATATCTCTTATTTCTAGCTGTGACCAAGGCGTGAAGCCCAGTGCACTGTAGGTCTTCGTAAACTGCAGCGACAACTGCAAGCGCTAAATAGTGCCACACCTGGATCTAAGGGCCTTCTGTGTCTTATTTAGGCTTTACCACTTGATCCCTGAAGCACGAAGAGGTCCAGGAACTTGCCTAAGGTCACTTATCAAGCGTTGTAACCGGAGAGTCCTCTTTTCAATCTAGTGTTACAGGAGCCTCCTATTCATCCTTCAAACCTCAATTTAAATATCACTTCCGCCAAGGAGCTGGAGGAATTCTCTAGTGGGTAAATTAGGAGCCCAGTCTCTGGACTTCCCATTCCCTACCCTTTCAATCAGGGTACTAACACATTTTAGATCTTGTGTCAGGGAGAGCCTCTGAGGAACACTCTTGGTTTTTGACAACTCTATGCTCACAGCACTTAGAACTGAACAGTATAGAAAGTAAATATTTGTTAAGTGAATGAACAGCATAAATTTTTAATGGCAACAACACCTTTATTAAATTTGGCGATGCTATTTCATGATGAAGATGCCCCTAGACATAATGAAGGTACTAAAAGTTTATTAATTTTTTATCTATCTTTTCTTAAATGATTTTTAAAAACAGTTGTAATAAATGTGGCACACTGACTTCTTATGATCCATTCAGTAAAAACTGAAAGACATACTTGAATATTCATTTATGTATTGGGTCTGTGGAAAATAGATTTAGAAACATTTGATAGTTTATTTGATTAAATGAACAGATACCCTTGTATATTTGATCCTCTGTTGTTTTTGTTTTAAGTAAAAGTCATCTGTGCATAGGGGGAAAAAAGCTAAAAGGATTTAAACCAACATGTTAGCAGAAGTATTTCTGGGAGCTAACATAGTATGACTCCTAAAATTTTGTTTCTAACTTTCATTATTATGAAAGTGTTTAAAGGAAAACAAGAGTAGTTCAATGAACACCCTATACCTAGATGTTACATTTGTTAATATTTTGCTACATTTGCTTTTTCTCTCTGCACATAGACAGACACACACATATACCCACGTCCTTACCAGTTTATAGGTACATGCATGTACATACTCACTTTTTTTTTGCATCACTATTTGCAAGTAAGTTACAGACATTAACACTTTGCCCGTAAACATGAAAGCATGTATTACTAAGAATAAGATCTAGCCACAGTGCTATTATTACACCTAAGAAAATTATCAATTTTATGATAATATGGAATGTTCCAATTCCCCATCTAATTTTCCCCACTTGTTCTAGGAATACATTCTATATAGGTGAAGGGAATTAAGAAATAAAGACCTCTAGTTATAAAATAAATAAGCCACATGGATATAATAAACAGCATAAGGAGTATGGTCAATAATGTTGTAGTAACTTTTAATGGGAACAGATCGTTACTAGACTTACCACATTGATCGTTTCATAATGTATGCAAATATATAAAAGTGTACTATTTAGTACACTTGAATTGAAAGTTACAGAATATTGTATAGCAACTATATCTCAATAAAAAGAGAACATTTTAAGATGTTATTATGTAGGGTTTCCCTGGTGGCTCCAAACTGAAGAATCCACCTGCTAATACAGGAGACACATGTTTGAGCTGTGATCCAGGGAGATCCCACATGATATGCAGCACCTGAGCCCCACACGCCAGAGCTACTAAAGCCCGTGAGCCCTAGAGTTTGTGCTCTATAACACGAGAAGCCATAGCAATGAGAAGCTTGTTCACCTCTTGCACTTCAAATTTGTGCAAGACTACTTCAATCCCCAAGTATATTGTGAGGCAGGAATCAAGGATAAGTTTCCCAGTGTAGCACCCTGTAACACTCCATCCTTCTTTATGGTCTGCCTGAGATCCACTCCTCCAGAAAAGAGAGTTTAGTTTAATATTTTGGATTGGTTGTGTAAGGGTATGTGAAGTTTGGAGGTACTATAAGCATACCTTTCATTTATATGCAACCGAGTTGCCTCAGGTCTTACTACCTTGTGGGTGCAAAGAGTGTCACCTTGGCGATAATCATGCTCCAAGCTGCACTGGTGGCATCTTGGCCAAGGCTAAGAACTTCTGGATTTCACTACCAGTGCACTGGAGCCCTTGAGGTATCCAAGCCCTTTGTTCTCTCTGTTTAGTGCACAGCATAGTTTTCCAGGGCTTTGGATCCAGACTGCGTGGGGTCAGATCCCAGCTTTGTTGCACACCAGCTGTGTGATCAAAGAAAGTTATTAACCTGCTTCAGTTTTATCTTTGAAACAATGAAGATGAATACTAGTATTCTACTTCATAGGGCTGTTATAAGGGTTACATGAGCTTAAACACATGTATAAGTCCTCTTGGAGGAGATCACCATTAGCCCTACCATGGAGACATCAGACTCCAGGACTGGGCTGCCACAGGCCAAACTACAGGGAGGGAGCACAGCACTAACTATGAGCAGAAAATGGAATTAAAAGGTTTACTGAACATGGCCCATTCCTTGAGAACCTCATAAACAGTATGAAAAGGCAAAAAGATTTGACACTGAAAGATGAACCCTCCATGTCAGTAGGTGTTCCATGTGCTATTGGAGAAGAATGGATAAATAGCTCCAGAAAGAATGAAAAGAATGAGACAAAGCAGAAACAGCACCCAGTTGTGAATGTGTCTAGTGGTGAAAGTAAAGTTCAAGGCTGTAAAGAACAATATTGCACTGGAACCTGGAATGTTAGGTCCATGAATCAAGATAAATTGGATGTTGTCAAACAGGAGATGGCAAGAGTGAATGTAGACATGTTAGGAATCAGTGAACCAAAATGGACTGGAATGGGCAAATTTAATTCAGATGACCATTTTATCTACTACTGTAGACAAGAATCCCTTAGACGAAAAGAAGTACACTTCAATGTCAACAGAGTCCTAAATGCAGTCAGTCAGTTCAGTTGCTCAGTCGTGTCCAAATATTTGCAGTCCCATGAACTGCAGCACACCAGGCCTCCCTGTCCATAACCAACACCTGGAACTTGCTCAACTCATGTCCATCAAGTTGGTGATGCCATCCAACCATCTCATCCTCTGTCGTCCCCTTCTCCTCCTGTCTTCAATCTTTCCCAGCATCAGGATATTTATCGCTGAGTCAGTTCTTTGCATCAGGTGGCCAAAGTATTGGAGTTTCAGCATCAGTCTTTCCAATGACTATTCAGGACTGATTTCCATTAGGTTTGACTGGTTTGATCTCCTTGCAGTCCGAGGGACTCTCAAGAGTTTTCTGCAACACCACAGTTCAAAAGCATCACTTCTTCGGTGCTCAGCTTTATTTATGGTCCAAGTCTCACATCCATACACGACTACTGGAAAAACCATAGCTTTGACTAGATGGACCTTTGTCTGCAAAGTAATGTCTCTGCTTTTTAATATGCTGTCTAGGTTGGTCATAGCCTTTCTTCCAAGGAGCAAGCATCCTTTCATTTCATGGCTGCAGTCACTATCTATGGTGATTTTGGAGCCCAAGAGAATAAAGTCTGTCACTGTTTCCATTATTACCCCATCTGTTTGCCAGGAAGTGATGGGACCAAATGCCATAATCTTAGTTTTTGTAATGTTGATTTTAAGCCAGCTTCTTCACTCTCTTCTTTCACTTTCATTAACAGGCTCTTCAGTTCCTCTTCACTTTCTGCCATAAGGGTGGTGTCATCTGTATATCTGAAGTTATTGATATTTCTCCCAGCAATCCTGATTCCAGCTTGTGCTTCATCCAGCCTGGCATTTCACATAATGTACTCTGTATATAAGTTAAATAAGCAGGGTGACAATATACAGCCGTGATGTACTCCTTTTCCTATTTGGAACCAGTCTGTTGTCCCATGTCCAGTTCTGACTGTTTCTTCTTGACTTGCATACAAATTTTTCAGAAGGCAGGTCAGGTGGTCTGGTATTCCCATCTCTTTCAGAATTTGCCAAAGTTTGTCGTGATCCACACAGTCAAAGGCTTTGGCACAGTCAATAAAGTAAAAGTAGATGTTTTTCTGGAACTCTCTTGCTTTTATGATGATCCAACGGATGCTAGCAATTTGATCTCTGGTTCCTCTGTCTTTTCTAAATCCAACTTGAACATCTGGAAGTTCACAGTTCAAGTACTGTTGAAGCCTGGCTTGGAGAATTTT